TGTGTCGACTGAGTTTGAACAAAATTGTAAATGGAAAGCGACGTGTGTCGATTTGTGTCAAGTGTGTCGACTGTGTCTCCTAAAAGGAAAGCAGCCAGTTTGATTATGAGAAAATGGATCATTCCAATTATTGTGATAATACTAATAGTTACCTTATTAGTTACCGCGTCGAATGAATATAATTTTATCGATTTTTGAGGTGATCACCCTGAACTTTACCTTTACCCATTATAAAATATATTTACCAATATTTTTTGATGAAAATCTGTTTAAAAAATACTTTATTGAAAAATTTTTGTCCTTAAAGAAATTTAGTGATTGGTGACCCGTGTCCTGTAATGATTTAACATTTTTAGGTTACGTCTACTGAAGCAGAAGAGCATACTACAGTACGTACGCGATCTGATTGGTTGGCCTTTATTTCTTTCGCCACATTGTGCAACGGGAGGCGATAGTTTATGTATCTCTTATTTCTATATTATTCCTATCGCTGTACTATCGCTATTGCCTGGCATTGTGTTTAGGCCTTAAGAACTAACTAACTACAGTCGAGTATTCCCCTGTTACAGTCGAACGACAGGGGAATGCTCGACTGTAGTTGGTTGGTTCTTACATTCTAATCCGGTTTAAACCCTCGGTGGAAACTTAAGGTTTGTTCGCGTCGCATACTCCAACATGCTTCAACATGTTCCTACCATAGCTCCTACTCACTCTAAAGCCTTGTGTCCACGATGCTAGAAATCGGTCCGAGACCTCGAATGAAAAAAGAATTGACCAATCGCAATGGTCATGTGATCAAATTATTCAAATGTGATTTGTTAATTTTTTCTCTGGCCGAGATCTCGGATCGATTTCTAGCATCGTGGATATCGGGCTTAACGAGTGCGTTTGAGTGAGTAGGAGCTACAGTTGGAGGAAGTAGGACTATGTTGTAGCATGCGACGCGAACAAACCTTTAGCCACTTGTATCGACTTATGTCATCAAATGAAAAGCACCCTGTGTCTCCCCGAACCCAGCCCACATGTAGCGCGGTACAGAAACTAACTATAGGCCTGTTCTTTTTGACTGAACTTTTGCACCGGTTCATCTTTCTTTTTCTTCTTTCCTCCTGGAGAGAAAAGAAAGAAAGATGAACTGGTGCAAAAGTTCAGCTAAAAAGAACAGGGTACCTATCATGGAAAAAGTCGGAATGGATTCCGATCGGAATTATTCCGTTTATCACTAGATGTTACTAGATGGATTATCATGGACAGTCGGATTGTTTCCGAAACGGTCGAAAAGTTTTTGGGGCTCTATTCTTGAAAAGCAACGTATACGAAAGTCTAGGGAAATGCTACAGTACGTATATGTTACGTATACTATAGTATTTCTCTAGACTTTCATATACGTTTCTTTTCAAGAATAGAGCCCCTGGTATCTTGCGAGCTAGCGAAATGTCGATTCCGATCGGAATCAAACATTGAGAACGTGAGAACGACAAGGATAAAGTAGGGATACTTAAACCCTTGGAGGTTAAGGGTGTTGTCTCATGACAGTCGGATTTCGGAAAACGGAATCTCGGAAAAGTACTAGACCGGAAAATACTAGACTAGAATCAGAAGACTTGGGCTGGATTCGGAGAGACGCTATTAGCACTATTTGTGTTATTCTATCTTCATCGTCCATTAAACGTGAAACAAGGATAGTATGACACAAATAGCGTTGATAGCGTGCTTTCCGAACGCAGCCACGGTAGTGTCTTGGTAAGTTAGTACGCGCAGTGATATACGCGTTGTGTTCGTTATAATTCGTTACGGTTAAAAATTAATAATTGTTAATAAAATAATTATTAATAAATAATTTTTCGGTAAATATTGATTAATATATAAGTATTTATTGTTCCATTATATATATGATTATTGTTGGGGATAATTTAATTCCAAGTTAATTTCAATCCCATAATTTTTGTAAGTTTTATTAATTGTAACAGCGAGCGAATTTCTTTTTCTTTTTGTTCAAATTTTTTGAATAAAGAATGAATTAATATATATAAAATAAAACAACATTTTATTTAAATAGTTTCAAGAAAAATTAAAATATCATCATGTTCCTATCACTTAATTTATAATAGAAAAAGATACATTTTATTTCAAAAGTCAATTTTATTAAAAATTATTTAAATTTTTAATTACTATGGTCGGTATTCATAGTCGATTCTTATTTCAAGATCGTCTTAAGTAATATCTTAAGACGCTAATGCAGCCCTTTGATTGGTTCGTGACTTCTTGAGACCGTACTTAAGACGGTCTTGAATATAAGATCTGAATACCCGTCTATGATCACTCTTTTTATGTTCCGACTTTTTGATGACCGGGTTTCCCATGGAGCGACTTTTTCGGAAAACGGACTATTATTCTAACCTCAAACCGACTTTTAATTTAAAAATTTCATTCATTATTCTCTATTACAATAAAAAGTACATCGGAATTTAATTTTCTTACAGATTCTTCTACTATATCATAATTATCTTTTTTCATAAAATTTTTTAAATAAATTTTCCGAATTTCACAATTCCGGAAAAACTGGTTCATGGGAAACCGAGTCACGAAAATTTCGGACCGACAAGCAGACAAGCACGCAATTTTGTATATCTCCAACAATAATCATATATATAATGGAA